TTATAGCTTAAAAAAGCCTTATTCACACATATACAACATGTAAAGAGTGGGGAATAAGACTAACGATGTGTTTGGATTGAAGGAAATGGAGGGAAAGGAAGGGAAGAGAAATGGAGAGATGGAGTATCTTTCATTTGGATAGCAAATGAGGAAGGGAGGGAATTGGAGGGGAGAGAAATGAAATGATTAAATTGTAGGAAATTAATCCCTTTAACAATGGAGAGATTTAGAAGGAAAACTCACCATTCTTTCCTCCCCTTCCTTTCCCTCCTTACCCTTCTTTTCCATCCACTTTCTTTATCCAAACAAACTGTAAAGGAGTAAAGGCCATATAATAGTTAGGGCCCGCCACACTATTATTTTAAACGTTAATCTTTTCACTACATAAAAATTAAGTCTTCACATTTTCTCATAGGAAGCTTTTAATTAAAAATTATCTTATTACATTAGGGTGTGTTATATTCACATGATTTTCACTTAATTGAACTAATTTGAAATTATAATACTTATTAAAAGTTATTTTATCTATGATCTGAACTCGAGTTATTTTTATCAAAACTTATTTTTCCTAAATGGAACTTAACTGAACTTTTATGACTTGAAATAAGTGAAAGTATGGTGAGCAAAATAGACATTCCATTTCTACACTATTCAATAAAATAATACCCATCTTTAAGCAATCATATATAATACTCTCTTATTGATAATACCTTTACAAAAGCTTTATGCTTAGATAAGTTTTTGAACTATTTTGAGACAGAGGGAGTTGGATCACGAATATCAAGACTACGGATGAAATCTCATAACTCCCTTGATATTAGAATAAATGCATTATTTTGACTGATGCATGTACCAATACACCATTAATAAGAATAATAACTAATGTTGTACCAAGTATTAGTCTATTTTTTTTTTAAATTAATATTATGCTTATGCATTGTGTTTTGTGTATACTCCAACAAAAGTATACATACATTAGGTTTATGTTTAACTTTTGCTCAGTTTTTGTCTTTTGGCACCAAAATGGTTAGAAATATAAATCAAGTCAAAATTTGTATTTATGCACCGCAATAATCAAAATGATGTAATTATTTAGAAAATGAGGGAGTACCTCTCATTAGAGGCGTCTAATCCTAACGATCCGAAAAAAACCCGATTATAAGTTCAAATCGTATGAACACAATAATTTAGCATGAATTAACTTTAAAATAGATCTAACTTGAGCTGAATTTATCGAATCTGTCCCAAATATCCAAATTGACACCTCTACATCTGTTATCTCTTTATCACATGTTTAACAGATCAATAAAAGTCGGCTCAAGTGGTAAGCAACTTGATGTCACTTAAGGGAGGACTCGGGTTTGAGTCTCGCCGTGTGCAGAAAGTCTTGTTGGGAGACTCACCCACCATAAGCCAGATGTGCTATCCGAGTCGGATCCGGATATAGTCAGGCTTGTACATTTATCTTTGGGCTTTTTCTTGCAAGGTCCTGAAACCCAATCTTAATTGGGTCATTAAAGCCCGTATAATAATAATAATAATTTTACCAGATAAAGCTCAACGAAAGCCCCAAAGTAGTAGTGCTTCTTGGGAGTCTAGCAAAACCTTGTCCATAAAAACTACGTAAAAAGGATCTTCCTCATTTCTTGTATCAACAATTCAACACACACACAAAAAAAAGAACAAACCTAATGCTCAAAAAATAAGATTTGTGTAATATAAAGGTTCAAAAAACAAAGATAATGATAAAAGCCAAGGGTTAGATATGGAAAACAACTCCAATATTGAAAGAGAAAAAACAGGCCGATTTTTTTTGAGTAAAGCCCAACCCACAGCCCATGATCACCTCTATGATATAGTTCATGCATCTTCAAGAAATCGGCAACTTTAGAGGAAGCCCCGCCACCAGGCACCCCAGACCCTATCTCTTGATAGGTTGATTACTATAATTCCATATATTACCTTCGTTTTTTATTAGTTAACACGTATTTCTTTTTAGCAAGTTTTTTTTTTCAGTTGACACATTTCATTTTTGGGTAAGTTTTATACCCTTGTTTTTTAAGTGTACCCCATTTGCTTTATCATTCTCTTTCACTTTCTCTCATCTCCTTAATATGTGTGTCTAAATTAAACGTGTCAACTAAATAAAAACTGAGAAAGTATTATTTTGTGATAGTATTCATAGTAATCATATACATCTTAATGATTTTATTTATATTTAAATGTTGAGGTTGCCATTTAATGCGCTTACTCTATAATACTGGTCGCATTTTGCTCTAATACATACAATTGATAGTGGTTTTTGCAAATCATACAAGAAAGCTACTCAAAACATATTATATTGAGAATACAAATTAGATGTAAGAAACAAAATACAAAAATCAATACTCCCTCCACATTTTATTACATGCTCTATTTCTTTATGAGCGAATTTTTAGAAAAAGTAATAAATTATGAAAAAGTGAAGTTGGTGGAAGAATTAGGTATGATAGCTAGTTGTGAGGAGAGAAAATCTAGAAATATTAAAGTATGGAGTTTGGGGGGGGGTGGGGGGGCAGGAGGGGGTACACTAGGAGTAAAAAAAAATCAGCAAAATATTGTGAAAGGTTTTCAAAAAAAGAAATGGAGTAAGGGTCTGTTCTCTTCAGTTTAATTTCAGTTCAGTTCATTTCACAGTACTAGAAATGAGTAGAGATGGCAATGGATCAGATTTGGATTGGGTGGAGCTTCACCCGCACCCATCCATTATCCTAATTGCTCCATCCACATCCATCCGTCATCCGCTTCACCCATCATCCATATCCGTTCGTCCATCATCCGCGGATGAAACGGGTGGAGCGGATGACAAATGGATGAGTACTAAAATGAAAAAAAAACTCAGATAAACTTTAATTTTCGGTTATTTATATAATAATTTTTTTAATTTATTAATAAAAAAGAAATAATAACAACATATTGTTTGAAAAATTAATTTGCAACAAAAAAAAAACAAGTAATTTTCTTGCACATTCTATATTTTATTAGTAAAATTCTTTGATTAAAAATTTAATATATGATTAAAAAAAATATCATCCACATCCGATCCGATCCATCATTCGCTTCATCCGTCACCCGCTTCTCATTTATTTAATTCGGGTTTTCGTCCATTTATTTTAAGCGGGTGGAGCGGGTTAGCGGATATCCACTTAATATTGCCATCTCTAGAAATGAGCCTTTTTCCGATGGAAAAAATCCATCGGTAAAACTATAAAAAACCATCGGTAACTTGTTTAGCGATGGCTGCCATCGGTATTTGGCCATCGGATAACAATACATCGGAAAAATCAAAATTACCGATGGAAAAGCCATCGGTAAATTTAATACCGATGGTTTTGTCGATGGCTACAAACCACCAGTACCTTTTTAAATACCGATGGCAAAATCCATCGGTATTTTTTTTTCGATGATCAAAAGCCATCGGTATCTTTCGATTATCGATGGCAAAAGCCATCGGTAATTTAAAATAAAAAAAAATAAAAAAAATGAAAACCCCTACCCTCTACCCCTCCCCCGACCTATTCCCCAACCCAAAACCACCTTCCACCTAAAACCACCACCACCATAAACCACCTTCCACCCTAAATCACTTACTGCCACCATAGTGAAACAACTACCACCACCCACAACACATACCACCAACCACCGCAACCCACAAAAAAAAAAATCAACAACATAAAAAGAACAAAAAAAATCAATACAAAAACAACAGAAAATTAACAAAAATCAAACATATACCCAAGAATAAGATTTAACCAAACAACCACGAAAATTAAAGGGAGAAAAAACAAAATACACTCAAAATTACGGAGTACTACAAATCTAAAGCAAAATTGGTCAAATTTCACCTAATATCCAAAAATTAGCAAAAACCACAACAAATTATACACAAAAATTAACCCATAAAACCATTTCAACAATACAACCCACAAAATCAACTAAAATGAGCCAAAATCAAGTAAGTAAAGCAAAAATCAACACGAAATCAACCAAAACTAAACATACCTTTGATTTTCATGGTTCAATTTCACCTACTTAGGTTTAAATGGTCATATTCGACCATAAAAACTCCAAATATGGAATTTTTATGGTCGAATTTGACCATAAAGACCGCAACAACGCCGAATTACCCATGAACCCTGTCGAATTATCCATGAACTATCAACTAAATTGAGAAAAAAAAACCATAGAGGGAGGAGAGAGAATAGGGCGACAGAAAGAAAGGAGAAAAAGAGTATCATGGAGGAGAGAGAAAGAGAGTATCATGGAGGAGAGAGGAGAGATAGATGTAGATAGAGGAGGAGAGAGGGAGAGCAGTGTTATTAGAGGCGGAATTGAGGAGATAAGGAAAAGAATAAGGAAGGAGTTGCTAGGGTTTTAACTCTGACTTTTTTTTTGTAAATATTTACCGATGGCTATTAGCCATCGGTAATTTTTTTAATACAGATGGCTAAAAGCAATCGGTAATTTTTTATTGATTATTTTATAAAAAAATAAGATTTTACCGATGGAAAAAAGCCATTGGGAGAAATACCGATGGATTGATAAAACCATCGGTAATTTATAATTTTACAGATGGATTTTACCAGCCATCGGTATTTCCCATCGGTAAATGGGTTTTTTCTTGTAGTGTCAGCTCAATACAGCTTCAATCAGTTCAGTTCAGTTCCTAATTTCCTTCTCTTATAAACAATTCAGTTCAGCTGAACTCAGTTCATCTCAGTTTAGTTCAACTCATTTCAGTAAATCAACACAGGCCCAAGCAATAGAATGCGACTGCAAAACGAAAGTGTATCAAGTAATAAAATACGATAGTAGATATCGCTTGTTTTATAGCAATTGACTGTTACGTTGGTTGTTGGCTGGCTGACAACACTGTTACCCTTAACTAGCTGGTCTGACTAACTGTTTGTGTTGGCTTTGTTTGATTGTCAGCTCTTAAATAGATATGTTTGTCAAAATTGGTAGTTAACTAGGGAAAAAAAATAATGTAAGAGTAAGTATAAAGGCTAACAACCAACACAAAAAAGCTAGTCTTACTAGCTTTCGAGGGAATGTTTAGCTTTTTAGCCAACAACAAATAACTTAAACATATTTTTTGGCTTGTTAACCAAATCAAAAGCCAAAAACCATAAAAAAAAAGCCAATTGCCAAACAAGCCCATATTGTATATTGTAGTGTTGGATGTTACCTATGACACTATTACACTAAGAAAGTTCATTCAATCTTATACACTCATACAACCTCTGTTTCATTATGATGTTAACACTGCACGTACACTAAAAATAGGTTTTAATCGGATAAAAATTATTAGCTACACTTAAAAATTTATTTATTTCTTTAACACATATTGTTACCAAAAAAAAAAAAAATTAACACACACACATACACTCATTTTAATCATAGAAACAATGCGAATTCACAATACAAAACAACAATACATCAAATTCACTAAGATAATCGTACTCGTTATCTTCAACAATCACGCACTTTATTACTATTAACATCGAACAATTTTAACCTTAAAACCATGTTTCATTTGAAGTTTAAGGGAGACATCAGGAACAACTTGATGTCCTTGGACAACTTCTATATCATACCTTTGAATTATGGCAGCTGCAACAATCTTTATTTGGGTTAAAGCCATGTCCTTTCCTTGACAAATCCTCGGCCCTGCCCCGAAAACAGAAAACTTGTACGATGGCTCGAACTTAATGTTTCCTCGTTCCGTTATCCATCTCTCGGGCTTAAACTCGTTACAATCATCTCCCCAAATTGATTTCATCCTTCCTTGGGCATACATGTTGAAGATGATTTGCATATTCGGTTTAATTCGATGACCACTAGGAAGTATATCCGATTCAATTGAATTCTTGTGGTTGAATGGTACAGATGGATATAATCTTAATGTTTCACATACTGCACCATGAAGATATACTAGCTCATTTTTGTGCTTAGTAAACTTCCTTAAAAAATCGTCATTATTATCATCATCGTCTCTTTCTACCATTATAGCATTTAATTCCTCTCTAATCTTATTAGTGACATGTGGGTTTTTGGTAAGAAGGTAAAATAACCAAGATAAAGCAACACTAGTTGTATCACCTCCTGCTATGAAAAAATTTAAAAACGCATCCTTTAAAAACTCATCACCGTTGCTACTATTTGTTGGAGTTGTATGATTTTCTACCTCATTCATATAAATTGTCAATAAGTTGTCGAATATTACCTCACTTTCTTCTTTAGGATTATCGAGTTTCCTTTCTGCTCTCTTCATAGCTATCATCTTGTTAGTGAAATCGTAAATCATCTGGCAATCTTTTTGGTATTTCTCTTCCCCTACACCCAACCATCTCATAAATTTCCACATAGATGTTGGCATAGCATGACGCCGAAAAATCACCTCTTCTACATCATTCACGGCTTGGAAGAGTGGAATAGGTGACAAATCGAGTGAGAGAAATTTAGGGTCATAGTCCAAGAGAATGTTACATACATTATCAAAAGTAAACCTTTTAAACGTATCATACAAGTCGATTTCAACACCATGCTTAGAGACATTATTGAGCAATGGGATGAGTCTACTTTCCATCTCTTCCCAAATTTTCTTCATAAAAATTGAATTGAATTTGGGATGGCCGAAGAAAGAATGAGCCAATCTTCGATGATACTGCCACAAACTAGAATCCGAGTTAAAGATCCCATCTCCAAGATATTCGAAAATTTCGTTAAATTTAGGGCCTTTGACATAGTTTCCGAAGCTCTTGCTAAGCACGTGGTGAACGTTGGAAGGATCAACGGTAACTATAACGTTCATGTTGCTGAACCAAGGGCCCTTAAATAGAAACGTTAGCTCAGATGATTTCTCCATAATTTCAATGAAAAATTCATTGATTCTGTGAAAGTTTTGGAAGAGTGCAGGAAGCATCCCAACAAGAGGCCAATTAGTTGGGATACCATTTTTGTTGCGGAAAAAGTAGCAAAAAATAAACAAGCAAATGAGCAAAGTAAAGATAACCAAGTATGTCATTGTTTGCTAAGAAATTATAGTTCTTTGTAAGGTTTGGTGGGAGTTTAAATGGGATGGTTCATCTTCATGTGAAAGAGTTCTTTAAATAGAAAAATATAGAAAAGTTTCTATATGCTTCTTCCTTGCTCCCTCCGTCCCTTTTAAAAATCATCAAGTTTTATACTACACTATGTGGCTGGCCACACCATGTGGCCAACCATTATGGGGTAACTTTATTAGTATTATAAAGGTTACTCGGTTAGTGTTACATGGATTACTTCATCAGTGTTATAGGGGTTACTCAATCAGTGTTATAGGAATTACTTTGTTTTTTTACAAGCGGCTACATGATATGTCCAGTTGCACAAAGCGCACTATTTAAAAATTTATTTGTATATGAAACGCTAGAAATTTGATATAATTGCAATTTTTATTATCACATACAAATAGGTGAATTGGCCCCTCTGTCTTTTACGAAGTATATTAAACTCTCAGGATCTTCTTTTATTCACGTGGGATAATATTGTGAGAAGATTGTGCCGTTGTGCTATAAGCGCATTTTCAAACTCCCCCTCACATGGATAAGCTAGTCCGGCCACTTCTCAAGTTCAAGGAGATTCCAATCAAAAACCATACTTCGAATGACATATAAATGAGTAGTATTTTATTCAAAATAAGAAATATGAGGAGCAATATCCCCTTATAAAGTGTTTAATTCTCTTTCTCTTCATTTATCAACATATTGTAATGATATTTTTTTTTGATCTGTGAGCGAAAACTCAACCGACATACTCTCATGGGCGTTTATCGTTGGAGTGATAATTTTAGTAATGCGAGTCGGAGAGAGTCGAGCTACCTAGGAAGTATATGCTACGTCTGCAGTTCGTTGGAGTGATAATTTTAGTAATGTTACGTCCGCAGTTCGAGCTGCACTCGCAGCAATATTTGCGGCAGTCGTCAAGCGCATTTGCATGTGGGTATTTCGGGGCGGAAATTGTTTTGTGTGTTTTTTGAGCTTCTTTTTCAATATCTATTTTGCAGTGGGTCCTAACCATGGCACAACCGAAGGAGGTTTTATAATAATCATTCTAAGGAAGTTCTTAATTGTCTAATGGTTGTTCTTGATTACAATAGCTATTTTTCCAACATTTACGGTGTCTAAGGAAATCAAACTTTGTTTTTTTTTTTTCTCTTTTTTTTTTCTTTCATACCTGATTCACTTCCGATTATTTTTCAATAAGCAAACCTAGGCCAGCATAGCATTATGTTGTCAGGAATTATTCAATGCGCTGCTCATCCCAATCCACCCAATTCGAAATCGACTCGAAATAAACCAAATTCAAATTTCAACTTTTCTAGACACAATAATTTAATATGACTCATATTTAAAATAAACCCGACCCGATCTCATTGAACCTGACCCTCAAATCTCATGAATTTTTTCACCCTTAGTTGGTAGCATTTGAACTCCATACCTTTAAAAGTTGACGTAGGAATATTATCAGATACAAAAACAGTGTCACAAATACTGGTTGTAATTATAAACACATCAATAATGCTGATGCTAACAAATAAAACATGAAATACGCAATGAGCCAATGACCACGAAATGATTTTTAAAATAGGGATCCAACAAAAATGGGTTGTGATCTTAAATGCTTTGTTGAACTTAAAAGTTACCAAAGAGATACTGGGAGTATTAATTAATTAGAGCAAAACTATTACCCCACACAAATCTTAATTGTTTCCTCCGATTTGATCTGTCTGATCTTTTCACTTTATTGTTTGTCTCACAAAAGATAATTTAGATGAGGGAAAATTGGAGGAATAATTAGGTTTTTTCTTACTCTATTTCTCAAGGCAAGGTATTCACTAGTTGGCTAAACGAAAGCCAAAGAAGTCGGGTATCTCCTTCAAGCGGGACAACTACATCCCGAGAGGCAGTCAAACGAGGGTGTGAATGCGAGATGCCAGCAGAATGATCGGCCGGACAAGGCAATTCAAAAATTTGAACTCCTGTGTATCCCTTTAAAAAGACTCCGGGAAAGAAAAAAGATAGCTTAGCTTGGTTTAATTTGTAATGTTATTTTCTATTAAATGTGCATGAGAGCTTAATTAATTGTGATAATTGAAAATAATCACTAAATTTTGGTAAAAATATTTGTAGATAATGACACCAAGTCGCACTACAATCCACCATACACTTGGTGCTCCAAGCTTGAGTCAATTCGTGCTGCAAATTTATTTCCGACAAGCATCACGTTAATAATAATCTTCATTGCCCACATAAATAAAGTATTGTTGCTAAATTTGTTCCCCTATGTAGCTACTTCAATTGCAGACTTTAATAAGTTTTCAATTTTATTAAAGTCTGCGTGCAACGATAGGACATTGGAGATGGAGGGGTGGTTAAGTGGTTGGCGAGTTTGACTCTCATCCTCCATTTCAATGATAGGGTGGAGATCCCCCATATCTTACCGTTTAAAATAAATAAATAAATAAAAAATTATACGTACAATTTAGGCCATACATAAAAGTAGAATATTTTGTCAAAATTGTTGACAATGTGTAATTAACTCTAGAAATGGACAACATCGACCATACCAAACTATTCACTTGCCTTTGTAAAAAGAAAAATTAAATAAAGCTTATGTGAGATCTTGATTTTATCGTTGTAATATCTTAAAAGTTTGTTGAGAATGTTATTTTGATTATCTATGTATGTTATTCTTTATTTTTTCTTTTATTACCTTTTCTCTTCTAATGAATATAAAGTGTTCATTGAAGATGTTCTAAAAAATATAAATTCAAGATCGCATCTAGCTTAGCATATTAGTCAATTTTGAAATAAGTCATCATACTTGTACCTTAATGATGTATCAAAGTTGGGCATTATGTAACGCAAAATCATTGGCCGGGTAAGTGATCAAACCATGCATCAATTATTCCACGAAAATCATGACAAGACTGAAAAAGCCTCAAATTATATATGTACATTAGAATAAGCAGTACTACTCCATAAAATATTCATATTCCATTTTTTTTAACTACTATATATGTCTTTTTTTTTTTTTTTTTTTTTTTTTTTTTTTTTTGACAATAGCAAAAGGAAAACAAAGTGCTACAGAAAACTAGACAAGGTAGACCGACAATTCCTAGCTATGTCGTCCGCCTTTTGAACCTGGTCCCTCCGAACTTTTAAGATTGTGCACCTTCGAAAAGCCGATCCAACCTCCCTTAATTATTTTAGAATCCAGGTTATTAGAATATCTCTACCTAGATTATCTTGTAAATTGTCCAGAAGAGAGGTTGAATCGGATAAGATAAGAATCCCTTGCTTACCTTTGGCATGGGCCCATTTCATTGCTTCAAGGCAAGCCCAAGCCTCGCAATGGAGCACCGATGATGCTGCTCCATGTTTCCCCCCTTCCTCCAATTCATGGCCTTGAGAATTGCTTTTCACCGCCCAACCAATGCTCGCTCTTGTAGTCTTCTTATCCCAGGACCCATCCACTTCTACTATGAAATCATCAAACCCATCCGTCTCTTTACCTAAATGAACGTAATTGAACCCCGGAGGAAAGATTGGGTCATTCCCACTGTTAGTCTCCACATCCCTAGCCAAGTGTCCTTGCTGTGTGAAAGTCTCGTGGTCTTTCATCGCTAGACTTATAAGCTCCATCACTTGCGCTCTCGTGCTCCTAGCATTCTTGAAACATCTTTCATTCCTTGACTTCCATAGTCCCCATAAAATTGCAATAAACAACGCACATCGGTGACTGTGCTTACCATCCTCGCTATAAAAGAGCAGGATATAGTGCTGAATCCAACCTTTCAAAAGGCTGGTCTCAAGAGAGTCATGGCAAATAGAAAGAGGGCCATTCACCTAAATTTCCTTTGCCAGAATACAGAACTAAAGAGATGATGGCTGTCCTCCGAGGCCACCCCACAGTGATCACAAACCTCCTTCAGTTGAATACCCCTTCTAGCCAAATTTGCTTTGGCTGCAATGCCATCATGAAAAAGTTTCCATTTAGACATTGCAAAAAGCAACACATTGTCGTCATTATGTACACCTTACAACAATTACTAATTAATGTCCGACGCAAATCACTTAGGATGAAGCCAAAATATATCGTTCGCTTCATTTGTTTCTATGAATGACGCAAATAAGGCAAAGCGAATGAATGTTTTTCTACTAGTGAGCATGCCTACTAAATAACTTTTACTATGGATTACTCCATTAAATGTATCAAGCTCAAATCAGAAATCAACACGATACGACACAATCCGAACCTCAGAATATTGGCTTGAATTATTGTCAAAAGTTTACGACAAATTTAATTAAATGAATCAACACGACACGTCTAATTAACCAGGTTGGGTCATTAGTGCAGAGAATTTCAATACAAAATTAACACGAATTACCCCTCTTAAGAAAAATGACCAATAATTTATGATAATTTTTTGAGTGAGGCTAACGTTTTTACTTAGAACACAATAACACAGCATGAACTAGACACGAAAAAAGGAGGGTTAGTGTTAATACCTCTTTTGACAAGAATAGTTAAACTGTATGGGTCAACAACTCAACGCAACACTAGGGGTGGCAAAAGCTGACCCGACCCGATAACCCGACACGAACCCGACTTAAATATAGCGGGTTAGGATTGAGATTTTCGATCCAAAAAATTAAATGGTCGACCTGAAAATTAAATGGGTCAGATTTAGGGCTGGCAAACCCTGACCCGACACGAAAACCCGACCCGAATCCGACCCGAAGTTATTGAGAGAGACCCGAACCCGACCTGAACCGAACCCGAACAACCCGAATTCGACCCGATTTGACCCAAATTTCATATTTCGTAATAATATTAAGTTTTACACTATTTTTAATAGTTTCTAAGCATAACCCGAAATCGACCCGAAATCTGACCCGAACCCGACCTGCTGACCCGAATTGCCACCCCTAGTCAGGTTAAGGTTGAAAATTCGAACCCGAAAACGATCCATATAGCCCGAAAAAATTATTGGGTTGAAATCAGGTCGGGTTAATTCGAACCTGACCTGAATAACCCGAAAACAAATCATGATTAAACATTTTAAAAAATTCTAAATAAAGTAACCAAACCAAGCCAAAATTCATGTTCCTTATAAAAAGTAAACCATAAGGATCACTTTTATTAGATGTAGTCGCTGCTCCATACTCCGTCCTCTTTATCTCATCTTCTCTCTTTAAAGGCTTCAAAGTTCAATCTCCTAAGGTAAATCAATTGTCAAAATCAATTTTCTCTCCCTTCAACTCTCAAGAAATCAATTCCTAAATCCTTTGCAAGTTGCGAGTGCATCCTCCTTCACGTCTTCCTCTCCTTCACGGACATCAAGCTTCAAGTTGCAAGTGCTCAAACTTCAAGTGCTCCTCCCTTTCATTGGATTATGCTTGTTGTTTTTACTAATTTAGAATTTTATACTCCGTATATTGTTTTACTTTTAGATTTTTGTTGTTGTAATATTAAATTACAAGTTTAATACACTTAATATTTTTATTATTTTCTATTGTTGTTGTTTTGTTGATATAATGTATACGATTTACAAAATTTCTACAGTCTTATATATTCATATAATCTATACGGTTCACCTAATTGAAGCACCGATCCAATTATTATTTGAAGATAAAAATCAGGTCAGTTTTAGACTAATTTTAGTATAAAGCAGCCTGATTCAAAACCGAAAAAAAAGGTCAAATAAGGTCTATTTCGGGTTGACCCAAACTCGAAAATATCACGTTCAGGTTGGGATTTTCAACCCGAAAAGTTAAATGGATTAGGTTTGAGTTGGGGGGTAGCTGACCCGAAATTAGTCGACCCGAACACGAACACGAACCTGATCTGACCTGTTCTGTTTGCCAGCCCTACCCAACACGACACATGTATTATACGACGGGTTAGCATTGGTTAGTGTTAAGGTTCTCTGACCCGTATAATTTCGAACACGAACATGGGAATAACATGATATGACACGTTTGCCAGCTTATCTACACAGAGATATGTGAGATTTTATATACTTCCTCCATTCTTTTATTATTGCACCACTTATCTTTTAAGGAAATTTCACAAATATTGCACCATTTCCATTTAAAGAAACAAAATATGTGTGTTCACACTGTAAATATCCAATATACCCTTACTTTTAACACTTGATTCTTTATTTTATGTTTACATCACATGGCCTTATTTGTACTTTTACCCTTCTCTCTCCTCATTTTTCCCACTACCAAAAAATGAGCCCAACATGTATGGTGCAATAATAAAAAAACGGAGGAAGTAATACAAATTCATATTATATAATATCAATTCAACCTATCAGGGAAGATAATTTTACACAATTCATGACAATACTTATTTAATTTACTTGTATATCTTAAACAACCTTGAAATATTCTATATCACATGTAACAAATCTAACAATGGAAGCAAGGACAAAGTCCATGATTATTTAATATTTGAACCTACGTACATTTTTGGCAGGCCCACATATAATACCTTATACTTCATATTAATTTTGAGAACGACTTATCTTAACCTTAAAACCATTTTTCAAACGAAGAAGTATAGAGTGATCGAGGACAGGATAATATCCTTGTACGGTCTCTATATTGTAGTGTTGGATGATGAAGGCAGCTATAATCTTCATTTGGGTGAAAACCATTTGCTTTCCCATGCAAGACCTTGGCCCTGCACTAAACACCGCAAACTTGTACGATGGCTCACGTTTAATCGTTCCACCTTCAGTTATCCACCTTTCAGGCTTGAACTCGTTGCAATCTTCTCCCCATATCGATTTCATCCTTCCCATCACGTACGCGTTGATGATAATTTCCGTATTTGGATTCACTTGATGACCACTAGAAAGGATGTCTGGCTCAATTGGTGACTTGTGATTGCTTGTTAAAACTGGGTAGAGTCTTAAAGATTCACATAATGTAGCATGAAGATGTATTAGCTGGCCACTAAACTCTATAAAATTGCTTAGAAATCTATCATAGTTATTGTTCACTTGTATCATTATACCATCTAGTTCCATTTTAATCTTGTGAGCAATTTGTGGGTTTTTCAAGAGAAGGAAAAAAAACCAAGTCAATCCAATACTTGTTGTTTCTCCTCCGGCTAGATAAAAATTTGAAACTGTATCCCTTAAAAATTTATCATTATGGCTCTTTGACCTAATAGTGTTTTCATCGCTATCTATAAATAAGGTCAATAGATCTACTCTACTTACCTCTATTTCATTATCCTTTGGTTTAGATGTTGCTTTCCTCATTTCTTCTCTTTTCTTATTTATGCACTTGTAAATAAAGTCATCAAGGATTTTCCATGCTTGCTTGTACTTATTCTCTCCCTCTATATTCAACCACCTTTGGAATTTCCATATGCATGTTGGCAATACGTGACGAGTGAAAATAGTGTGTTCGAGATCAGCCACAGCCTTTAAGAGTGGAAAATCAGGCAAATCGATTGAAAGAGATTCCGGATCATGGTCCATCATGATCTTACTCATTGTATCATACATGAACCTTAAGAATATATTTTGAAGGTCAATCTCAATCGAGTGCTTAGCAACATGATCAAGAAATGGGATGAGTCCATTCTTGACTTTTTCCCATGTTATATAGATCAACGAGTGGTGGAATTGAGGATGATGGAAAAACAAATGAGCCACATTTCGATGGTAACTCCACACATCTGAATCGGAGTTAAGGATCCCATCACCAAGGACGTCAAAGATTTCATTATATTTGGAACCTTTTACATAAATTCCAGATTTTTTGCAATATATATGGTTAAGGTTAGCAGGATCAACGGTTACTAGGATGTGCATGTTGGCAAACCAAGGGCCTATGAAATGGAAATTCATGTTAGAATTTTCCATAAGATGAAAAACAAAGGCATTAGTATTATGGACGTTTTTGAGGAGTGCAGGAAGCATCCCAACAAGAGGCCACTTAGTTGGAAGCCCATTTTTATTGCGAAAGATGAAGCAAAATAAAGCAAAAAAAAGGAGGATAAGTGTATTGATCAACATGTAATACCCCATTATTAGGAAGTATAGTATGTGTTTAGGCCAGGTTTTGCTTGTTTGGGTGTTTGGTTGATGATTATGTGAAAATGGACGTGCTTTTATAGTTTTATTATGAACATGCTTTTTTAATCTTATATTTGTGTAGAAGTTAATGGTGTAGGCCTCACGAAATAAATCACACATGAAAATCATATCATTTCATGCAGAGGTGTCAAATCGGGTACCCAGATGGAGTTTGGGTTGACCCACAATGGGTCGGGACGTTTGGGTCGGGTAATGATGGGTCATTTTAATCTTACAAACCAAATCAAATCGGGTTGAGATTCGTCAGATTCGGGTTAAAGTTGAGTTCAAGTATGGTCAGATACAAATCAAATTGGGTCGAGTCAAATTCAAGTCGAGTCAATCGAGTTAAGATGAACTCGGATCCGGATTTTATTGGGTTTATTTGGGTCAAAGTGAATTTATTTGACTTTGGATCGGCTCATTTCGAATTCGATTAGATCTTGGTTCAAATCACTTCAGTTCCGATTAAAATTTGAATGTGGTTGCTTCGATTATTAGCTCATTCTCGGTTATAATACTTTTCGGTTTTGGGTCGAATAATTTGAATTTGGGAAATTAGGAGCTGAACTGATTAGAGTTGAACTGAACTGATTGGAGCCGAATTGAACTGAACTGAAATTAATCTAAAGTGAACAGACCTTAAGTTCAAATCGATAATATCATATAATTTCAGATAATTTTATACAAATTCATATTAGTTCAGATAAATTCACATTAGTTTAAATAAATTCAGAAAAGTTTGAATAATTTCATATACATTAAGATGAATTAATATATGTTCAGATTGTTTCATATAATTATGACATTTTCTTATAAATTCAAATAATTTCAGCTAAGTTTAAATACAGAGTATGATTTTAGATAAATTTAGATACGTTTATATAAATTCAAATAAATTTAGAATTATTTTATATAAATTTAGAAGTTCAATTAAGCTGAAATAAATACATCTTCGTCAAAATCAGGTGAATATAACACACCAAATCACATTAATATATCATACATACATATTTATATTATAAGTTTCAAATTTTATACGTTTTGGAAGTATATTTTATGGTATATAATGATAATATAGGATTTTTTTTTTTACTTTAGAGTGCTAAAATCATGGATTAACTCACTAATATATCGATCAATGTACTGTTCCTATAATGTTGACTCCATTCAAACATATTCTTATTGCTTTGCCTTACTTTTGTGGTATCTCAATTGTTACTATTCATTTGTTTATATTTTTTTTTACCATTTTATTATAGTACTCCGTATCAATTAATCAATTATCATTTTTTTCTATGACTCCCTTCTTTGTTCTCTCTACAAATTCTACAATTCACAACTTGAATGTTGACTTTAGAAAGACTTCATCAAACAATGTAACTCAAATGTAAGGATATATGATTCCAAGGTTGAGCCATCAACCATTCTCTACCACAAATGTATAGTGATAAAGAATTTGATTTCAAGATAGAACAAAAAGTTATGTTTAATTAGAAACAAGCTGGGTTTAATTGAATTATGAGTAATTTCGGGTCGGTTTTAATTGGGTCATAGGAAGTTTTAAATCGGATAATTAAAGGTCGGGTAAAAAGTGGTATTTTTTCAAGTCTAAATGGTTTCAGGTAGATTTCATTTCGGGCTAGATCGAATTCAAATCTTATATTATCGGGTCTTATTGGTTTCGGTTTAAATATGAGTCGATTTCAAATTGGGTTTGGATCATAAATTACCAGGTGGAGTCGGTTTCGAGATAACGTCGAGTCGACTCCAGATCGGATTCGGATAAAAAATATCCGAGTCCAACCAGTTCGAAAATAGTTCGGTTTCAAGTAAACCTTTCGGGTTGGGTAAGTTTTTGAGACCCCTAATTTCATGTTAATTTCAACTATATTTCCTAATTTAAGTCACAATTAATGAGACAATTACATATATATATCTACCAACGTTTTTTTTAAGGGACCAACACCTTTTAATTTCAAACTAGTGTGCGGCCCGAGCGTTGCACTAGGTTACCGCTTTGATTAAATTGTTCTTTTTTCGAAAGATTAAATTATTTTTTTTGTGAAATATATAATCATTTATTATGTATGTTATGCATAAATGTTAAACATAATGTTATTAATTAACAATGAGTATAGAAAGCAATTTTTATTACTCTATTGTTTGAGAAATGTTGATTTAATTCCTCTTATTTTTTTTTTTCAAATTTCTTATCTCGTTTTCTTTGTAATTGGTGCGTGCCATTTATAGTTATATTTATTTTTAGGAAAATTTGGATTTTAGTACCTCAAAAATGGGGGTAATTGAATTTTGGTACCCATTAATTAATTATTTTTTTTTTAAAAAAATTGGTACCTCAAAAATGACATAACTGTAGCTTTCAGTACCTCCGTCTACATTCCGTTAAGTTTTCCATTAAAGGGGCCCATTACTAATTTTTTAATAATTTAATTTATTTATATAAAAAAAAGAAAAAACAAATTTTTCTAAAAAAAAACACCTGCCACTGCCACCCTTTCCCCTGAGCCGGATTCCGGTTGTTGGTGGCCAAATTCCTCGGGCACCGGCGCTGGCGTCGACCACCCCACCCCCTCCCTTTTCCCTCCTCCAATCCCAGCCATAAGGGCCCATAACCCCTGTTTTCCCCTTCCCCAAAACCCTAGAGCAACCACAGCCTTCCCCCCGTTCCTGGCCGCGGCGGCAGCCTGTTGTGGCTGGGTTTCGTGCCTGGCCGCGGCGGCAGCCTACTATGGTTGGGATTCGTTCCTGGCCGCGGTGGCAGCCTACCGTGGCCGGGATTTGTTCCTGGCCGCGGCGGCAGCCTGCTGTGGCTGGGATTCATTCCTGGCCGCGGCGGCAGCCTGCTATGGCTAGGCTTCGTGCCTAGCCGCGGCGGTAGCCTGCTGTGGCTAGGCTTCGACCTGGTCGCGGCGGCAGCCTGCTGTAGCTTGGTGGTCGCCGTTGGGCAGGTATAAGGAGGGAGGCTGGCAGTGTAGTGGCTGAGGGGGAGGAGGGGGCGGCTGGAAGGTGGCATGAGCATGGCTGGGCCCCATTAACGGAAAACTTAACAGAAGTTGGACGGAGGTACTGAAAGCTACAATTATCTCATTTTTTAGGTACCAATTTTTTTAAAAAAAAATTAAATGGGTACCAAAATTCAATTACCCCCATTTTTGAGGTACTAAAATCCAAATTTTCCTTATTTTTATAAATGACATGAATTATTATTAGCTAAGATGGGAAAGAGTAAGATCTTGTATCCTCAAGGTCTAATGTTTGAAACCCATCAAATGCTTTTTAATATTAATCTATCAATAATAGTTGGAATGATTTGTTAGTTTGTAATGACATGTCATTAAGTGATGATTTGGCACATAAACGATTTTAGAAACGCTTTTTAGTATGTAAGTATAGATGTGTTTTATTTTTTACCGCAAGGTGTAATAAAAAACTATTCTGACGATGCCACTTTCAGGCTTGATGGCGTGGGGCTTAGGAGTGTAATGCGTTATTATGTTGGTGATGTTGTTGCCTCTACTTGTCTTCACATTAAGAGTAAGAAAGTTCAAGGCTGACGACATTGCAGAAGCTCTTGCCATCAGGCTCGCTTTGCTATTATCCAGCTTGCTAAGGGTTTCCATGTTGGGTTTCGGAAAGTCCGACTTTTCGCAGAACAAAACCCGACTCCTAGACCGGCTCACAAATAATATAACTAAAAGACATAAATAACAAGATAAAGTCAAAAGACCATATTACCCTTGATGCGTGCTTCACTCGTTCCAACGAGCTCTTACTTCGAAAGGCGAGTCTCGCAAGCGCGTAGACCTCCATCGATAGTTCACCCGCAACAACGACCCGAACGATCGCTAACTCGATGTTTAGCCGAGTTCAGACCAAAAACAACTACTCGAGTCTCGAGTTGTATGTGAACTTAAAGGTTTTCTTACTATTATGGATATGTCTTTTTGAGTTCCAACTCAAGTGGAATTCTCAAGTCCCAATACATGGGTATTTATAAAGAATTCCAAGAAAACATTCCACTCTCCTATCAATGTGGGAGAGTTGGTAAAAATAATTTTTCATTTTATTTATTTTTTTAAAAAAATAGCAAATCAATGATCAATCAACTAATTGCAATAAGGAGGGAGAGGGTAGGTGATGACCACAAGGGGAGGGGACCATTTCCTTCCTCCACAAGCTTCCCACAAGCCGCCCCTCACACTCTATCTCTCAGCCCAATCAGCTCGCGCCAGCTAGCTCGCCGAACCTTGGGCATCAAGGCTGCCTTGCTGGCACCTGGCTTCTTGGCTGGGCCTGCTAGCTGGTCGCTAGCATGTGCGGCCTAGAAAGCATGCCTTGCTTGCTAGTGGGCTGTTGTTGGGCGCTTCTTGCTTGGCGCGCCAGCAGTAGTGTGTTGACCTCGCACTAGCCCGTACATGCGCGCAACAAGCCACACACGCAATGAAATATTCTCATTTTTTATTTTGTAATTCTGTTTTTTTATTATTATTTAATTTTTTTTAGATTTTTTTTATTTCGGAAAAATCGTGTGTTGACACGTGACATATGACATGTTATAACAAGTTGTTGACCCGTAATTGACAGGTTGGGTCTAGTGGAAGAAAATAAGAGTCTAAGTTGGGACTGTTAGCAAATAATCCTTAGTTGGGATTATTCTAGGTAAATCACCCATAGTTAGGATAATTAAAGTGTATTTTTCCTTTATTTTTTGACAACTTACTCCATTTATATATTATATATATATCTCCTCCTATGGTCACAAATAAAACTCTCATCCTATGGTCACAAATCAAACCCACTACATGACACACTAATTCTTATCTGTTATCTATGTAACCGACACTTGGAAAAAAATTGAAATCTCAAATTTTGATGTCTCGTTTTAGTTAATTAAAATATATCATAAATGGATTTGTATTGTACAACTTTTAAAAAGGTATTTTATGATGTAAAATCATTCATAAGATTTTTTTTAAAAAAAAAGTTATAATCTACTTTAAATATATATATATATATATATGGAAATTAGAAGTCCTTTTAGAGATAAATTTCTAAAATAATTAT